CAACCACATCCGCTGCCAGTAATTTCGATTTTCAGTGCGAGTGGAATGGATGTGGGAGGTAAATTCGCTCTTTGCCTAAATTACTGGCAAGCTAGGAATTAAGCGAAAATTATTTCTCATACTTAGACTGCTCTGTTCGGTGGTCCCGCTGGACTAAACTGCAGTTTTTTGTTTTACAATTGCTGTGACAGACTTATTTGTTTTCGCCCTATTTCCAGCTGTTTTTTCACACTATGTTCTCGTCTTAAAGTCTGTTTTATTTCAGGTACTTCTCGTCACCAGCTTCTATATTGTTTCATTGCTCCAAAGAGCACATCTTCGACGAGGCCGAAGTACAGTGCCGCTGGCCGCGTTGTGATGCTACTGTACGTGCAAAATGGTCCATGGTAACGCATCTACAGGACCATCACTGTAGCGAACCCGCACTGATAGCTGCTGCCCAAAAACGCAGAGAAGGTTCAGAACAAATTTTCTTGATAAGTTACGATAAGCAAGCTAGTGGCTGCCAGTTCAGTATCATTCGTTTTGAAAGCAGCAACATATGAACTTAAAGCAGCCAGTAACAGTAACTGAGTAAAAAGCACGTTGGTAATTATGGGAAAATTTGTGAAACATGTGCACTGATGAAATTTTTTGCGATTGGTTTTTACTTTAGTGATGAGCGATCGTTTGCAGGTCAGAGTTTGCCGCTGGAACCAGTAAATCCGGAGAGATCACGTGAAATGGTCCCCCATCCCGGATATTCCAAAAATGCAGCTATTGAAGCTATTCGGCGGCATGCTTTTAATTATCTCCCTCGTGATATTACGGTAGGTGTGCGCTTCCTTTTCAAATGAATTTCGATTTTCACATATATTGCTTAAAATTAAGCCCTCATCGTATTTACTGCTTGCGAGATGAGGCATTCAGAAATAACTGAGGCGGTTATGCGTGTCCACAGTACCATTCTGTTGCTAAACTGCTGAAGTCTTCTTTTAAGAGTTGTTTGGAGCAGGACTGATGGAGAGTTTAACTTTTTGTCGTGCACTGTTACATATCTGCAGTCGAATTAGATGGACGAGTTGTAGAGGACTGATTACCCTGCTCTTTAACAGTAATTGGGTTTTATTGTTTCGAGCATCGAGAATACTACAGTTACTCTCCAAATGCAAATTTGTATAGAAGTAGCTCGGACGAGAAGCACAAAACTTCTCTGATGTAAAGCGCTGAATGTGTTGATGGGGTTGCAGGATGATCCTGAAGGACCAGTGACTAAAAGTATTCGGTTAACCAGCTGTCTCATTCTTCGAAATTTGGCGCGGTATTCCGGTGATGGAAGACGGTGAGTCCCATCACCCATCTAATTAAATAACAATTATTTAGTAGTTGTCCGTCACGTGGCACCATCTGACACTTGTCCCTTCTGAACTCATAAAAAGCTCTGCGAATTTTCAAATCGGAGACTGGCTTAATCGCACGGAATCTAAAAAAGTCATTTCGAGAATCCGTATAATGCATGTTGTTGTTTTGAAATTTTTCACAATTCTCGGCTTTTTTTGCCTGATTCCTTCTAATTTCGAATTAAACTAATTTGGGGATTAACAAATTCACTGTGTTGTAGACTTCTTCGCCGGCATGAGCGTCTGCTTAGTTGGTTATCATTGTCGCGTCTGGAAAGCAGTTCAGCATTAGCACAACTCCTTGCTGAATTGTATTGTCAGCCACCTTCAGCTTCACCTTTATGATCGTCATTATTATCATCACCACTATCATCATCATCATCATTATCATCATCACCTCATTATGTGCCGCTGCATCCATGCAGCAACCGTCACGAAAGCCTTGTGATATATTTATTCCAGCCATTTTCGCTGTGTTTTTGACACTTTCCCAGCTTCGATAAGGAATTCGTTTCACTTTTTTACTATTATTATTTTTGTTTGTTCTTTCTGCTGCGAATAGTTTGGACCACATGTGTCTGTTACATGCTTTAATCGACTTAACTGCATTTTACTTTAGTAAGGGGCACCACAATCTTCAAACTAGTAAAAAATAAATGGTACACTTTTGTCGGGCACGAAATTCAAACGAAAAGAAAGCAAATTTCAAATTAAGGGGATAAAAAAATGAAGTAACTGTGAAATTTTACCAAAACAGTGGAAATTGTAGTTCCTGGGTCCCAAAAGTGCACTAGAAGTAGCTAACTGCGTTGAAAAATTGGTAGTGATTCCCGAGATTTTCCATAAAACATTAGCAGGGGACTGGCACGAAGAGAGGGTGCCAAGTTCAGTTTCACTGTTGTGGCGGGAAGCTGCGAAAACTTTCACGGCACACGGTTTGCCCTAGTGCTGTCGCTGACGGCCTCTAGAATTGATAGGGGGGAAATAATAGATAGCAAAAGAAGCGGGTCCTCGACATCTCTTTGCTACAGGCAACGCTCGCACTTGTATTTCTGACCGGCGAGCATCAGCGCAATTGGAGCGATGGAGCATCAATTGAAAATGAGGGAAATTTTGTGTTCCCGTTCATATGCAGAAATCATTTCCCTCTGCCCCTCTCCTGCTTCGGCCCCCTTGCCTCCCTAATTTTTTTAACATTTCTAATTATTTTTATGCACTGTGATGGTGTTATGTGAATTGTTCCCGGTTAAAACTGCCAAAGTTGTGCCGTTATCAGCTGGAAGTTGAAACGTTCACGATGATCAGTGCCTCCCTGTGAACAAGAAGTGCCATTAACCTGGTAGGCTGCCTGTGCAAACTCGTCTTTAGTAATTTCCTTTGAAATATTGCTAGTGCGAGTTGCCCCCCGCCCCGCCTTCTCTTCTACCGCTCATCCAACCATTTATGTTTCAAAACTGATTCGTTCGATGGTAGCTCGGTGGCTAATGCGAGGAAGCACTGATTTTGAGGTGTACCCTCACCTTGGAACGACCTCTTGGGAGAATTATGCACTGGCTGCTGGAGGGCAGCGCTCAGGGATTTGTGGACCTTTGCTGAGCGACGTTGCGAAAAGAGGGTTTGTTTGTAAATAAGATTTCTCTGTTTCTAGTTTGTTGTTTGATTTTATTTTGTGTAACATGTGTTGTTGTGAGACGTGGAAGAGAGATGGGCACCGGTGTGGAGAAGCAGAGGAGGCAATGAGTGCAAATAAGTGCCTGTCTGTGATGGGTTTTGGGATGCTTTCGTGGATGGTGTTGTTTGTTATGAGGGAAGAAGCATTCTTTATGAGATGTGTTTTTTATTCGATTGTTTCGCTTATTGGTTTTTGCGTATTTCAAGTTTGTGTTCAAATTTTTGCGTCTTAATGTATGTATTGTTTCCAGTGCTCTGCACTGTACGCGTTTGTGTGTTTATAATTTGTATGTGTTTGTATTGTCGAAAATCGTACCAGTGAATGCAAGCAAATAAAAGTGATTAGTTCTGTTTTGCTTGCCGACCAAAAGCAGTTCCACGAGATATTCATACCTTTTTATACATATCTATTTAGATAACTGGCGTAAATAAAAGCATGTTACTTGCAAATGTCTGTGCCCTCACATTCCACTTCCAAAACAACGGCATCCAGAAGCAAGTTTGAGGGCATTCTCCACGACATGTTGCCGAACCGTAAAACGGCTTATTTCGATTTTTTGACAATTTTAGGAACAGACTGAGACGGATAACTTGGGGGTCAAATCATTGGCGATGCTGACCGATCGGGCCCGTGCGATCATGCGCAATATTTCGTGCTGTAAATGAGATCGCTCAGAAACCTAGTAGCTAAAAATGCGTGAAATATAGCTCCTTGAAGTCCGAGAAGTTAATTGTCTATGCGTTAATTGAACAGGGACGTGCCCTTAAAATCTCAGCCTTCCAGCTTTCCTGGTTCTTAGGTAACCGAAGCTCTGCCATTGGAAAAGCCAAATTTTTTTAAGTCAGCTAGGTGTGACTAGCTCTTTCTACCAAGTTTCATGGTGGCTTTTAGACGGCTTTTTTGAATTTGTTGACTGGAAGCCGTATACTCTCTCCGGACGCACTCTGATTGACTTGTCCATTTCATAGCCTAAAGCAGTCGTCATCATCCGCTCGGGGGGCATCGCAGTTCTGCGTACGTCGGCCATTGGGCCGATGCTTATAGTCCACATCCGATGCACAGCTTACGCATTTGTGTCCATATTAACTTTGCGCATTGTATTGCTCTTAAAGTGAGTGTACTGGGGTGCTGTTCTTAGAACAAGTGACTCCAGAACAAATCATGAATCTTAGCAGCCAGTTTTGCGAGTGAAGGATTTTTGTCTGAGCCGGGGGCACCTTGAGAGGAGGCCAAAAGGAGCCTTCGAAAAACACTGAAAGAGAGAGCAGAAACCCGGAATCAAGACAGCTCAACTCAGTGCTCATCATAGAAAACACGGAAGAATCGCTTCTGGGGAGCAATTGGGTGGAGGGGGATTAAGGAATGATTTGTGAAACAGTGCCTGATAAAGAGGAGTTCTGTGCAAGGTTGGTAACCATACAGTTCTCGCCATAGGCGGATGCAGGGAA